CTGACTCATCGAGCGGGCGTGTGGTCAGCACGCTGGGCTGTGGGTGGCCGCGGGCGGCCAGCACACCCGGGAGGCGGCGTCCACATGCACACGGCTCATTCCTGTCGTGGGCCAGTGTCCTGTGGCTTCAGGGTCAGGCCGAAAAGATTGTAGGTTTGCTGAATGGTTGGGGGCACTGGGTTCCTCCAGGGGAAACCCCACTTTCTCGCTCGCTTGGCCTCCCAGGCCATTCCCAGTGGTGTCCCTCCGCTGCATCGCTGACCGGATGCTGTGACGGACGTGCCTGTCGGAAACACGCTGTCACCGGCGCAGCTCTGGCCGTCGGGAGTGCAGGCAGCCATCGCGCCGTCCGCGCCGGGACGCGTCTTCCCAGCGGGCACGGGGAGTGCCGTGTTCACGGTTCAGTGTGTGGCCGAGGACGGCAGGAACTGAGTGCCCTCCTGCCACCCGGCAGAGCCCGCCCACGGTGCCAGGTGTGCCCTGGCACCCCATTTCCGCAGGAGGAGATGGGGCTCATCCAGTTCCAGTGTCACGTGAGTTCACGCGTGCCTGTGTGCGATGTGCTCGGGCCCCGCTCTGCCCAGGGGCTTTGTCTCCGAGTTCCCGTGAACCAGCGTCCATGCTCACGGAGGCCCGTCCGGCTCCGCGCAGGGCTGGCTCCTTGGGGACGTCGGGTCATTCTTGCGCTTGTGGCCTTCCTGTGCCCCTGACCACTCAGCCGCCATTGTTGTCTGTCCACAGGGAGCTGGCTGGCCTCGGACGGTGTCTGAGCGGCCCACACCGGGAGGGGGGGTCCTTCTGTGGGAGGCGGAGTGCCTGCGTCTAAGGGGCTGGGAACCGCCCGCCTCCCCCGCTCACCGGGACGGCAGGTGCCGGGAATGCCGGCTTCTCGCCTCTGCCCGCTTTCCTGGCGCGGCTGGAGGCTCACTCTTCGCTGCCCGGCAGGCCCGGACGCAGCGCCCAGGTTAGCTGGGAGGGGCCCGTTAGCTGATGTTTTTAGCTGAGAAGCCCACGTGGGCCGCTGGCCGCAGGCAGAGAGGGCTCGGCCTGTCAGCCAGACGGAGCAGAGCCCCGCACTCCAGGCTACTGCTAGGGAGAGGAGAGGGGAGGGCTGAGCCCTCTGCCCTCACTGGCCACCGAGCCTCACTGTCCAGGCCAACCACGAGTTAGCCTGGTGCAGTGCATTGTGGGAGAATCGGGATGAGCAAAGCAGGTGGGTGTGGCTAGGGGGAAGCGCTTGACTTCAGTCCAGTGGGGAGAAGGCAGGGCGAGATCTGAGCTGCCAGTGGTGGGGCTGTTGAATGAAAAGTCCTGTCATGTGGCTGAGGCCTGTGGAGGTCATGTGACAGACCTGGAGAGGGTGCGGAGGGCAGCAGCGCCAGGCCGACCTGAGTGGCCGGTCTCTGGTGGATGAAAAGAGCCACCTGCTGACCTGACCGCTCAGGGGAGGCCCACGTGGTGGTCTTACAAACTCAGACCTAAAGTCACCACAAAAGATGGTCTGGAAATTAAGTATGTAACTACAAACAGGTTATAGTGGGTGGTCATGTCCTAGGCCGATGTTTTCCCTGAGAAAGGTCAACTTAGATCTTCTTTCCTGAGCCCGTTTGCCTTTTTGCCTCTAAGATAACATATCTGTGAGATGTGTGGGTAACTTGTAACTTCCTTTTTCTGGAGCCCCTGGGGCACACCCAGATGTGGTGGGCGCCTGGACAGATGCCTCACATTCCTTCATCATCATGTTAATTGTTCCTGCGCTCACCTGAGTGTGTGTCCATCATTTACTTTTTATCCAATCCCAAGGGTTTCCCACCGCTTTGCTTTCTCCCGCCTCCTTACTCCATCACCAATGAATTTCATGTAACCCACCCATGTCCCTCCTCTGATGGCAATGTATAAGTACAGATGTAACCCACCATTCTCCGGAGCATTATCTCAATCCATTGAGGTTCTGCTTCCCGGCATACGTCTACAGTTTGGCTCAAATTCACTAAAATTCTTTACAGGTTTCAATGGGTTTTTTTTTGTTGTTGTTTTTCGTTAACACTGGGCACCACAGCATGGGAGGGCCCCAGTCCCTGGCCCAGTGCTGGTCGGACTGGGAAGCTTCTGGATGCACCAAGTGCACCTGCAGGAGCCCCTGGGTCCAAAGGGGCTGTCAGACCTGCCCTGCCCTCCCTCCCTCCTGGGCATCTCCCCACCTGCAGGACCTGTGGTGTTGGATAGGCCGGGCAGAAAGTTGTTTTGAAAGGTAGTTTATTATCTTATTTAAAGTAAGTTTTAGGTTTTGTGGAAGCAGAAGGAATATGTTGTAAATCACCAGCGATGCACCTTCTCCTCTGCATCCGTCCTCGAAGAGACCTCAGCGAGCTCACGTGAGCCGCTTAGCCCCTGCTCCCTGCACTTCCTGTCAGCCGTCAGCTGCGGCCGGGCCTCGTTTAGGAGCCTGGTCAGGACACGCAGGGTTATTCTCCCGCTTCCCAGAAGCACCTCATTGATACAGAGCACCCTGTGTCTCCCCACTCCTGGCTCCTGCTCCCGCCCTGGAATTTCCTAGGTGTGTGTTTGTTACTTTAATGAGGTGGCTTTTGGAAAGCGCTGGAGGGTGGGGGCTGGCTGCCAGGAGCCCCAGCCTGGTGATCAGAGGGCTGGGACTCGGGGAGGGGCCAGGCTGGAGGGGGCTCAGGGCCGGCCTGGCTCAGTTGGGACTTAGTGCTGAGCCTCGTAAACACCAGGGCGGCTCTGCCTTGGGGCCAGACCACCTCCGCGGGCCGGCTGCGGGCACAGAGCCGCTCTGCGCACTGCCTGCGCGGCTCCATCCGGCGGCCGCGCGGCCGTAGATCCTCGGAGTGAATCGTGCCGGTGAGGAAACGGTTTCCCCGAGCTCTGAGCCTCCCTGGCAGGTTGTCTGAGCCCAGGGAGGTGCTGGCCCCCCGACAGCCCGCTGGCCAGCACCGGCAGCGGCTCTGAGCGAGGGCAGCTCCCTGTGGAGCCTGGTCTCCGGGGGCGAGTCCGGCAGAGCTGGGACCCGGAGCCCGTGCGGGGGGCGGGCCTGCTGTGGAGCAGGGGAGCCCGCTCACGCGCGGGAACCTGTGTTGCCAGGCGTCCGGCCCGTGTGGGAAGGACTGGTGTTGAAGAAGGCGTCTGACGGCGCTGGGCCTGTCCGCCTTCACTCCAGAGGTGATGGTGGAGAGCAGAGAACGGGGTCTCGTCTCTGGAGGAGGAGGGGGGAGCTGTGGGGAAAGAAGCTCTAGGCGGGCCGCCCCCTCCCTCGCCTCCCGGCGGGGCTGGCCCTGTACTGAGACGGAGAGGAGAGGGAGGGCTTGTGACACCACGGCACCACGGGGGGTGGTGAGCGACCGGGATTGCACCCCGGCGAGGGTGGCTCCGGTTCCTTCGGCCCGGAGGGAGGGAGCAGATGTAGCCAGGCCAGAGTCACCTGGAGGCTGTCTCCAGCCGTCAGAGATTCACCGTTTGATTCTGGCAACTTTGGAGTGTGTTCAGACTTCCCCTAAAACACGGGCGGTTCGGGCTCGCCTGACATCGGGACCACAGGGCAGCTGCTCCGTTTCCCTGTGCGAGGCGTCCTCTCTGGAGGGCAGACCCCAGGCGGGAGCCACTCCGGCTGACGGGGTGTCAGCACCAGCGAGAGGCGCCCGCACGGCGCAGTGTGGGGTTCCTGCCCAGCCCGTCTCTGAGGGCGGTGCTGGGTCTGTCTGGGACGTGAGGGACTTTCAGATTTCCATCGCTGGTTGTCATGAGTGTCCTGGGCAGCCTGGGACCTGCGTCCCCCCTGCGGGGAGTGACGGAGGCCGAGGAGGCTGGCCCCTGGCCGGGCGCGGGGGCAATCGGACCCTCTCCCTGCGGCACGGAGCTGTGCGTGGGAAAGCGGCTGCCTGTTGCCATGGCAGCCACAGCCTCACTCCTGCTGGAGAGCTGGTCCTCACGAGGGGCTGGGGATGTGGAGAAGGGGAGAAACCCTTGACTTTTCATTGAAAAACAAGAAGCCCCCTCAGCCCAGGTGCCAACCAGGGACACGTGAAGGCGGCGGCAGAGGTGTGAGCCCGTCTGTGTTTCTGGGACGGCGACGGTTGCAGCACGTCTGCTGGGGGCAGCTCGCCGTTCCCGTGTCGCCCCCCCCCCCGCCCCGTGGGCCTCCGGCCAGGAAGCCGCCGCGGCCACCAGCTTCGGAAGTGGTTCCAGGGAACAGCGGGCCGAGGTGTGCCTGCTGCTCTTCTCCGTCCTCAGCGTGGCTCTGGAACGCGCTGGGTTCGGCATCACGTCTCCTCGTGGTCTCCGTCCAGCTGGTCCGATCGCCTGCCGCTGAGGGTCTGCCCCCGGCTCCCGTCCGTGGCGCCTGGAGAGCCGCGCAGGAGGGGTGGGGCCCGGACACGTCCGATGGGGTCACCAGCTGGTGCCACTTCTGAACGTGGCCGAGGGCAGGGCCGTGTTGAATGCGGGTGTGCAGAAAGCTGTGGCCACACCCGGCCACCCCGGCCCTGGCCCCTGACCACCGGCGGAGGGGTTGGTCACTGAAGGGGGCCATCGCGTCCCCTCGAGAGTGTGGCTCCGGGCAGAGGCTCAGGCCGGACCCGAGCGCGGGAGCCGGCCGGGATGGCCCAGCCAGGGGCCGGAAGTCACGTGTTTGGCATCACTTGCCCTTGGGTGAGAAGCAGGACAATAGAGGAAGTTGTTGGTCGCGGCCATTGTCGGCTCGCTTATCTGAGAGCATCTGCACAGCAGGCCCATGCTGCCGGTGGAGCGTCCCTGGGCGAGGAGCCTGTCGGCGCTCTGTCCGAGCGGAAGGCCGGAAGTGGCCACCGGGCCACTTCCCAGCAGCTGAGGAGGCTCTGGTGCAGAGCCCGCTTTCTGGGGCGCAGGCGGCCCCCGAGCTGCCGCCTTGCTCTGCGGGGAGTGAGCCTGCAGAGCTGCGCCGGGGGCTGTGCACGTGCCGCCCCGCTGGCAGGACGCTAACGTGTTTGTCGTTTCCGTCAATAGAGATGCCAGCGACGCTTCCTGGGTAACTGTCCCGGCCGCCGCGTGGGCACTGCCTGGCGAGGGAGCCGCCGCGTTAATGCCTAGCCTCCTTGGCTAACAGGTAACCACGCCCTCCGGAGCGGCCGGCAGCGTCCTCACTCACCGTGCTCCCCGCGGCTCCCGGGCGCCGGTGCGGCCCGGCTCAGGGACGGCGTGGACGGCGTGGCTGAGGGGCTCCGCCCGGCCTGGGGGCTGGTCCCCAAGGACAGGAGCCGTGAGGGCCTGGGCGGGAAGGGGCGTGGGCAGTGCCGCCGGGCGGGCCGGGCCTTGAAAACGGACTGCAGGGACTGGGTGGCGGAGTGCAGGCGGGGGGGCTGAGGAGCAAGGAGGAAGCAGGGCGCTGCCTGGCGCGGGTCCTTCCGTCCTCTGCCCCACAGGCAGCACCAGGGCAGGGACCGCAGGCTCCCCAGGCGGCCACGTGTGTCCAAGTTAGAGTGGGACCTGGGAGCCAGGCCATCCCCCTGAGTGTGGGCGGCAGCTCTGACCGCCAGGCAGGTGGTTGGACACTCACCCTCCAGCCGGCACAGGCCGTCCCTGCTGCCCCCGCCGCCCCCCGTGTCCCAGGGCCATTAGACGCTGGCCAGGAGCCCCAGCCCTGAGGTGTCACCCGGGTGGTAACTGGGCCAGACAGCTGTCACCGCGGCTTCACTCCACAGCCGCCGGCCAGGCAAAGCGGGACGGCGCTCAGACTCGGCTGAGCCCGTGGCCGCCGTGCGCTGGGCGGTCTCGGCCCCTCGGCAAGCCGCTCCACCTTCTTGTTGGACATAAGCCGCTGAGAACGGCGCCGCCGTGGCCTCCTCAGCCCGCCTGGCCGCGGTGCGGTCCCGGCGTGGCCTGACGCGGTCCCTCCTCTCTTGCAGATTAGCCGGTCGCTCGATGGGGAGCAACGGTGGAGCCCCCTCCTGTGTCAGCGCCCCGCCTCTCCGCAGCCACCGAGACCACGCCCGCGCCTCCTCGGTCATAATGATGAAACTGGTATTAACTGAATGGCCACTATGGATTTGTAACTCGCACTCACAGTAATCGCAGCCACATGCTCAGGATCCGGCCGGAAGGCACTCTGCGGGCCGCGCGCTGTGCCCGAGGGGCAGTCGCACCGAGAGGAATATAAGGGCTACTGGCCGGGGAGCACCGCGAGGCAGAGGCGAGAGGCGGCGTCTTACCCGCTCAGACACGCCAGTGCTGTTCGCATAGGCGGAGGAAGCAGACGGCGGCTCCGGTGGTGATGAGAATGGCCCCGCAGAATGCCGACTCGGAGTCTCTGCCGGTCCAGGAGCTGCCCGTGGCCCTGCCGGAGCCGCGGAAGCCAGCGGGCACCGGCCCCGAGCCGCGCGACGAGACCGTCAGCGAGGGCTCCATCGACCGCATCCCCGTGCGCCTGTGGGTGATGCACGGCGCCGTGATGTTCGGCAGGGAGTTCTGCTACGCCATGGAGACCGCCCTGGTCACGCCCATCCTGCTGCAGATCGGTGAGTGCCGCCGCCGCCCGCTGGCACACGGAGCGGAACGGGCTGGTCTCCCTGCAGCCTCCTCTGACCCCCGCTCCTGTCTGGACCAGGGCAGGGAGGGGTCTCCTGCTGTAGGGGTGGAATGGGGCTTGGCGTTGATCTGTCCCACTGGGGAGTGCGACAAGCCCTGGCTGACACCTGGGGGGAGACGCTGAGCAGCTTTATAAAGCCCCGGTGTCGGCGTCGCTGTCACCTGCCGTCTGCCTGCAGTGCGGCCTCCGGTGGCGAGGGACCGGGTGTGGGAAGTCCTGGCGTCCTCGGCCCCAGGCCAGCTGCCGTTTGTTCACCCCCCGTCGTCTAAGGAGGGTTAACAGTCTGTGGTTTTCCAGCCTGGAAGGGATTGAGGAAGGGGCCACGCCATTTAAAAGCAGTTTCATTCTAGAATTTCCCGTGTGCCGGTGAAGGGTCTAAAACCTTCGCGTTTGGGTTTGGGACTGTCCTTTCTCCCGAGCGGCCCTCCGTGCGGTCAGCTCTGAGTCGGGATCTGGAAACCGCAGTGTCTGCGTGGCGCCCTCGGGTGGCAGGGGCCGTCGTCTGGAGACGCCTGTGCCCGCAGCGCGGTGCCCGAGGCCGGGACAGAGCGTGCGCTTCTCAGCCGGAGGCCCAGCGTCCCGCCCTCACGGCCGTTTCCCAGCGGCGCGGGCTTCCTGGGGCTCCTCCCGCTGCGGGCCCTGCCTGTACCTTCCTCTCGGGAGGCCTTGATGGCATCCATGTTGCCGTGCTTTTGGCAGCGCCGGCCGGTAACTGTCCGTGTTGCCGTCTCCCTGTCACTGTCTTAGTATCCGAAGTCAGAAGTGGTAAACGTGCAGACACTGGCACGCCACTTCTTTCCTCCCGTTCGGTTTGTTTGACCGGGAGCCCTGGCCTGAGCCGTCAGTGAGGCCTCTGTGCGCTCCAGGCTGTGAGCACCTAGTCGGTGTGGGCGTGGGGGAGAGGTGAAGGGTCTGTTCTCACATCGCCTGGGAGGGCTGGAGGGCAGGGTCCCGGCCCTCCTCACCTCTGACCCGGAGCTGACCTCCCTGCCACTGCCTTGTGCTGTCCTTCGTGTGGGAACCCCCGGAGGAGGACTCTCGGGCCAGGCACAGCCTTTTACAAAGGAGAGCGGAGCGGAGGGGAGGGGAGGGCCAGGCACTGGGCCGGACCCCCCACCCCACCCCCACCCCCGGGCCCAGCATCCGGGCAAAGGGGCTCCGCAGGCCCCGCCCCTGCACAGGCAGGAGGGCAGGCGCCGGCTCTCCACGCCGCAGCCCTGCTCAGGGGCGAGTGGGCTTCTCAGAGTTAGAATGAGGGGGTGGGGGTCAGTCTTGGGAAACTGGGAACAGCCTGTCGCCCACGGGCCAAGCCTGTTCCCACACAGCCTTTCCCGGGAAGGAGGCGAGTGGGCGCCCGGCCACACACTCATTGTTTCTCTGGTTCCGGAAGCCCCGAGGGAAAGGAAAGTCCTACGAGCAGAAAGGATGTCGCGCTGCCTCGGGGCCTGACTAATGGGGGTGAAGGCTGACACGCCTGCCTGCCTGGGAGTCGTGACCATGACCATGACCATGACCAAGGCATCCCAGCCCGCAGGGGCCTGGGTCACTCCTGGAGCTGGCGAGGCTCAGGGCACTTTGTGTCTGTCTGTCTCTTCCCTTTGCCGCTGTGCCCTAAGGAGAAGCGGGGCCCCTGGGGGTTGATTTGGGAGAACTGGGTGTCCTTCCTGTGAGCCCACCCCCGAGAGCACAGAGGGGCCGGTGCCCCCCCCTCCCCACTCTGGGATCGGGCCAAGGGCCTGGAGGCAGGTGCGAGGTGCCTCCGGGTCCCCATAGAGCCCACCCCTCCGAGGGCCCGGTGCACCCAGGGCCCCCCTCCCCAGAGAGCCCAGTGGGGGACAGCGGGAAAAGAACAGCTAGTGCCAACCAGGCACAGCGAGAGGGGCAGGAGGTGGGGAGGCTGTCTTGAGATGAGAGAGATCTGGACCCTGGGAGGCAGGGGTCTGATCACAGGAGGCCTCATTCGCGGCTCCAAGGAGGTGATATACAGAGCCTGGGGCCATTCCGCCCTCTTCCGAGTCGCACGCATTAGCACTAGGAAAGGGCAGTGGTGTTCGGCAGTCCTGATAGGACTGTATTGTATTACGGCAGCTTTCAAACTTGCTGCATAGCGATAATCTCCCGGAATTACAGTCATGACAGAACGTGAGCCGTGTATATACACGGGCACTAAAATTGACAGGAAAAATTATATCAGAACAACCAGTACAGTGTGTGTCCACAGCAAAGTGCGTCCCGGGCGGTGGTTTTGTCCTGAAAAGCCTGTCACTGACATGAGCTGTCTAAGTGGGAGGGACGCACCTGGCGGGAGGAGGTGAATAGATGGCAGGTGGGTGAATGGGTGGCAAGTGGGTGAGCAGGTGGGCAGGTGGGTGGGCAGGTGGGTGGGTAGGTGGATCAGTGGGTGAGTAGGTGGGTGAGTGGGTGGGCAGGTGGGTGAGTGGGTGGGCGGGTGGGTGAGCAGGTGAGCAGGTGGGTGAGTGGCTGGGCAGGTGGGTGAGTGGCTGGGCAGGTGGGCGAGTGGGTGGGCAGGTGGGTGAGTAGGTGGGTCAGTGGGTGGGCAGGTGGGCAAGTGGGTGGGTGCGTGGGTGGGCGAGTGGATGAGCAGGTGGGTGAGTGGGTGGGTCAGTGGGTGGGCGGGTGTGTCAGTGGGTGGGTCAGTGGGTGGGTCAGTGGGTGGGCGGGTGGGTCAGTGGGTGGGTCGGTGGGTGGGCGGGTGGGTGGGCAGGTGGGTGCCGGGGCTCGCACACTGTCTGGGGGCCTCGCAGAAAGGCACTGTGCGGAGCGCCTGCCTGGCTGGGGCTGGAAGCCACGTGGGACGAGGACTGCTCTGTGGTCACCATGAGGCCAGTCGGGCTGGGAGCTGGTGGTCAGGGCTGCAGGAGGGGGGCCAGGCCCCTGGGTGCCCGCCTGCACGAGGGTGAACCATGTGAGGGCAGAAAGTCCCCGGGGCCGAGGGCGGGAGGGCGGCTCTGAGCCGGGCGGGTTCCTGCCGAGTCATCAGCTTCCAGCCGGTTCCGTGTGACCTTGTTCCTCTCCGCTCCCACACACTCCACTCGCTGTCGCTGTAGCTGTGGCAGGGGCGGGGCGCCCCCACACCTCGGCCGCCCCCGGAGGCCCGCGCTGCCAAGGCTGGAATTCTCAGGCCTCCTAGGCCCAAGCCCCGGCCCGCCCCGGCTCCCTCTTCACGGCTCTCCTGCTGGACCTGCCAGCACAGCCCACTGGCCACACCGCCTGCCGTCCGCGTGGCTGCTGCCCTGCTGCCCCATCTGACCCTCGGCTTCCTGGCGGCCGTGTGCCCCCCGCACCCGGGCCCCCCTGGACGCAGGGCAGTGCCGCGAGCAGAGGCTCAGCTCACTTCCTGCGAGTGCTGGGTCCGGGCTGCTCACCTCCGCGGCTCAGCGCGCCTGCTTCTCCGGGCCCCTCCGTTCCCCTTCCCGGGGAAGTGGGGTGTCAGGCCTGGAGCCCCAGAAAGTGGCCCGGCTGCTGTCCTCAGGGCAGACCAGCACTGGGGCGGGGGCAGTTGGCCATCCCAGGGGGAGCCGGCAGGGCAGCCGGCCCGCAGCTGGGAGGACAGGCCTGAGCTGCGGTGACCTGGCTTCCCGTATCCCTGGGCCTGAGGGCCCTGGGTCGTCAGCCCTGCAGGGGGCGGTAGGAGGGGGCCCCCTGAGGGTGTGGCCCCTGGTCTCCATCTGGCTGTGGCCTTGGGGGCCCGGGTTCTGGTCCAGGTGCTCATCGCCGGGAACTGGCCTGGTGCTCACCTGGCCCTGTGCTTGGCACTTGGATCTTGTCCCCCTTCCCAGACCCAGACCTGGGCCCCCGGCAGGGCCAAGCCTGCCCGTGGCCTCTGCTGTGTCCAGCCGTGGCCGTGGCACTTCCTCAGCCACCGCTCCGCTCCCGCCACCCCACACTGTCCCGCTGACCCTGCGAGGCCTCTTCCGGTGCCTTCAGCCTGGAACCCGAGCGAGAGGCTGTCCTCGGGAGGACGGGCAGCGGCCGGGGCGCAGGGGGCGCCAACGCCGCCCCTTTGCCTGCGGGCGTGGCTGTGATGGGACTGACATGGCCGGCGGGGCCCGGCGTCCTGAGGCTCCTCCTTTACCCAGGATCGTGGGGCGCCCGCAGGCGGGGCCGCCTCTCTGCCTCCTCCTCCAGGGGCGCTGGGGTTCTGGAACCTCCTGCAGCCCTGGGGCCCTGGCTCCAGCTGGAGGTGCCGTCTGCCCCTCAGCCTGGGCAGGCAGACCCTGGCTCCGGGGGAGGGGCCGCCATGGGGCCTGTGCGTGGCCAGAGGCAGGGACGGCATCGCACGCTTCCTTCGTGGGCACGCTCGGGCCCCGAGGCTGCGAGCGGTTCCCACCGGGAGCCGGTTCCCAGCCGGTTCCCAGGCGGCTGCCGGCGAAGGCGCCTATCTGATGGGCAGCCCGTCTGCGGAGGGTCCTTTGTTCCCGCCGCCCGGCTTATCAGGAGAGGCCCGCGCGGAGCCCGGGGCCGAGCTCACCGTCGCCGTGACCTCACACAGCCGGCAGCCGGTGACACGAGCGCTTCCTGTGAGCGCGGCCTTCCTGGTCCCACCATTGTTGTTGGCTGGGAGAAAACAGTCCCTGACGGGCCGCCTGTTTGTCCGGAGCGGGGCTGGGAACGGCCGCGCCGCCGCGTCCCACCGCCCGGCCGGGCCGGCCTGTTCCCACCCCCGCGGGGGCGTCGGCGGCTCAGCACAGGCCGGGCGCGGGCCACGTGAGGGAAGTGGCTGCTGTTCTTGCCAGTGTTTGGGCGTAAACAGTGTCGCCCAGTGTCCTGTGCGTTCCCAGCGGGCGCCCGCGCCCCGAGGCTGCCGCGCCTGCGGGATGAGCCGGGAGCGGCTCCCGGCCGGGGCTTAGGTTGTGTGACTTCCCAGAAAGACAAGTCCCGTCTGCTGTGAGCCTGTCCTGGGCGCCATGCCCTCTCCTCGCATCGCCCTGGGGGGCAGGCACAGTCCCAGCCCACGTGCCCTCCCCAGCAGCTCAGCAAGGCCAAGGCCACGCCCTGGGCGGGGTGGGGCGGGGCGGGGTGGGGTGGGGCTGTCTCCCTGTAGCCGAAGCTGCAGGCCTCAGGGCCAGGCGTGTGGTCCCAGGAACTCCATCGTCCCGCAGCCTCTCGGTGCCTCGAAGGAGCAATGCTGGGCGGGCGTCACCGCCAGGCACCTCCGGGCGTCCTGCCTCCCTGCCCTGCGGTCCCTCACGGGCAGGGCAGCTGCTTTCCAGGGTCGTCATGGCAGCGGGCCCGTGTTGTCCGTGCCCTGGCGTGTACTGGAGAAGAGCACGGGCTCTGCATGGCCAGACCCTGTGCATCTGTGTTGGGTTGGCGGCGGGGGGTGAGCAGTGGCCCGTGAGGGGTGCCGGGTTGAGGGCAGAGGAGCTGAGAACAGTGGCCACCGTGGCTCGGTGGTTGAGCGTGGGGGTCCCCGGGGCAGCTTTGGGTGGGAGGACGGCAGTCTGGGGGTCACTGTGGCAGAGTCCTTGGGATTGGGCAGCCGCGCGTGAACCCTGGGGCTCCAGGCAGAGTGTGCCAACCTCGGAGGGTCAGTGTCCCATCTGAAAAATGGGCGCAAGGGCTTCAATTGGGTTCAGATCCCGCAGCCCCACAGGAAGGGCCTTCTGCCCTGACAAGGCCGTAACCGTCCGGGGGGGTATGCATCCTCGTTTGTGTGCCCAGTGGCACCCTGCCGAGTGTCTGTGCCCACATGTGTGTGCTCGCCCACATGTATGATGGTTGTGTTTGCATGTGACGACACGCATGCGACAGCCACCCGTCAGTGTGTGCCTTCCCATGGGATGGTGCGTGTTGTGTGTTCCCGTGTGTGATGACCACACGCCTGTGCGTGTGCGTGCCCGTGTGGTGACCACACGCCTGTGCGTGTGCGTGCCCGGGTGTGATGACCACACGTCTGTGCGTGTGCGTGCCCGTGTGTGGTGACCACACCCTGTGCGTGTGCGTGCCCCGGTGACAGCGTGTCCATTGCAGGCCTTCCGGAGCAGTACTACAGCCTCACCTGGTTCCTGAGCCCCGTGCTCGGCCTCATCTTCACGCCCCTCATCGGCTCCGCGAGCGACCGGTGCACCCTGCGCTGGGGCCGGCGGCGGCCCTTCATCCTGGCCCTGTGCGTGGGCGTGCTGCTCGGGGCGGCCCTCTTCCTCAACGGCGCCGCCCTGGGTGAGTGCCCGGGGGGCCTGCCCGCGGGGGCCTGTCCGCGGGGGGCGCTGGGGCTGAGGAGGGGGAGCCTGTCCACGGGGGCACTGGGGCTGAGGAGGGGGAGCCTGCCCGGGGAGCCTGTCCGCGGGGGGCGCTGGGCTGAGGAGGGGAGCCTGTCCGCGGGGGGGGGGGGGGGGGGGGGGGGGAGCGCTGGGGCTGAGGAGGGGGAGCCTGTCCCCCGGGAGCACTGGGGCGGCTGTGGAAGGCGCAGGGGCCGTGGTTCTCAGGGAGGCGCTTCCTGGGGCTGTTTGCTGTCCTGAGCAGGAATCACCTTTCCTCTCCCGCCCCCTCAGGCTCCCGGGTTCTGTGTTCTGTCTCTGCCTGAGGCAGCTCCAGGAGGGAGACTGCACGTTGTTTTCCGCCCGGGCTGTTCTTTGCTTTTAAGGGTGATAAATATTCTTTTTTTTAATTGTTTAAAGTGTTACACGTCTCCTTTTCCCCATTGACCCCCCCCTCGCCCGCCCCGTCAGTGACTTTAAGATGGGAGCGTGCCCCAGGCCTGAGCACTCGGGTGGCAGCCAGCCCCTGCAGCACCGTGTCCCCGAGTGTCCCTCCTCCCCATGCACGCGCTCCGTGGAGCCCTGCAGGCCTGCGCCGGGCGGGCACGCCGACCTTGAACCACGCGCCTCCCGCCGCCGCTCCCACAGTCCCCACGCGCGCGGGGACCCTCCCCCCGGCCGTGGCGCGCTCGTGGGAGCTCTGAGCCCGGCCCTGGCTGCCCGGAGGGAAGCCGCCGCGTAGAGGAAGGAGGCTGGGCGCGCTCTGGGCGAGGAGCCCCTCTGGCCGGGTGGGCGGCGCCTGGCGCTGAGGCCTGCCCGCTCTGCCCGCCAGGCCTGGTCCTCGGGGACGTGCCCGGCCAGCAGCCCATCGGCATTGTGCTCACTGTGCTGGGCGTGGTGGTCCTGGACTTCAGCGCCGACGCGACCGAGGGGCCCATCCGCGCCTACCTGCTGGACGTGGTGGACAGCGAGGACCAGGACATGGCCCTCAACATCCACGCCTTCTCTGCCGGTGAGCGCCCGCCCCCATCCCGGCCCACTCGGCCCACTGCTCCGGAGGCCGCACCCACACCCACCAGGGCGTGGGCTCCCCCCAGTGGCCAGAGAGCAGCCCTGACGGGCCCTGTGGCTGGTGCTGGCCTGCCGCTCTCGCCTCCGAGGGGAGTGCCAGCCTCCGAGGCCTGCGGGGGGCCGCGGGGTCCCAGGCTCTGCTCCCCACCTGGCAGTCTGTCCTGGTTTATGAAGCAGGAAGCGTGGGGTCAGAATTGCCCACCCAGAGTCGGCCCGAAGGGCCTGTGCCGCCTCCGTGCCCGCCCCTCCCTCCCTCCCGAGCCCGCGGGCCCGGGCAGGCCCCGGCTGGCTTGTCTGCTCGGGCCCAGGCCCCCTCCTCACCGCGCTGTCCTTCCCCGCCAGGCCTCGGCGGGGCCGTCGGCTACGTGCTGGGGGGGCTGGACTGGACGCAGACCTTCCTGGGCTCCTGGTTCCGGACACAGAACCAGGTGCTGTTCTTCTTTGCGGCCGTGCTGTTCACGGCGTCGGTGGCCCTGCACCTGTTCAGCATTGAGGAGGAGCAGTACTGCCCCCAGCAGGAGCGCGCCGAGGCCCCGCCCGCCCCGCCCGGCCTGCTGGACGGCGGCCTGGTCCCGGACGAGGCGCAGTCGGAGCAGGAGCTGGCGCTGGACTACCTGGGCGAGGAGCTGGTGCGGAGCAAGAGCGACTCGGCGCTGCACGTGCCAGACACGGCGCTGGGCCTGGAGCCCGAGCTGCTGTTCCTGCGCGGCATCGAGCCCTCCATCTTCCACGACGCCTCGGGCCCCGGCACGCCCGCCAGCGCCAGCCAGGACCTCAGCCCCGGCCCGCCGCCCCGCCTGCCCTCGCCGCTCGGGGACACCACCAAAGAGGACGCGGTGCTGCTGGCGCACCACGCGCACGAGGCCCAGGTCCCCAACGGCAGCAGCTCGCCCCCGAGGGACGGCCCGCCCGGCTACGGCGCCGTGGGCCCCAAGCCCGCGCCCGGCGCCCTGCGGCGGCGCCGGCACGGCTTCCGCCGCCAGGCCTCCAGCACCTTCTCCTACTACGGCAAGATCGGCTCCCACCGCTACCGCTACCGGCGCGCCAACGCCGTGGTGCTGATCAAGCCCTCGCGCAGCATGAGCGACCTGTACGACCTGCAGAAGCGGCAGCGGCAGCGCAGCCGGCACCGCAACCAGAGCGGGGCCACCACCTCGAGCGGCGACACGGAGAGCGAGGAGGGCGAGGGCGAGACCACGGTGCGGCTGCTCTGGCTGTCCATGCTCAAGATGCCGCGCGAGCTGCTGCGGCTCTGCCTCTGCCACCTGCTCACCTGGTTCTCCGTCATCGCCGAGGCCGTGTTCTACACCGACTTCATGGGCCAGGTCATCTTCGACGGCGACCCCAAGGTGAGCACGGGGCCGCCGGGGGCCGCCGGGGGCCGGGGGAGCGGGCGTGTGACGGCCCGGCGCACCCAGCTCGGCGCCTCCGTGGGCAGGGCCGTCGGGGGAACGTGGTCCGCGCCCAGCAGTCAGGATCCCCGGGCGGGGCACTGGGAACCGTGGGCCACACCCTCAGCGTGGGCGAGGCCAGCGGCCACGGCTTTGCCCACATGGCGCCTGGCTCACCGGGCCGTGTCTCCTGGGATCCGGCCGGGGTGGTCTCGGCACAGGCTCAGGCCCACCCTCCACGCGTCCTGCACTTGGGCCTGTGGAGCTGCTCCGTGGGCCGCTGGCGGGGACGGCCGAGGCAGGGCTGCCAGCTGGGGGAGCCGGGACCGGGGCGGAGCGAGGCTGCAGGGAAGTGCCCACTCAGCGCTGACCTGGGCGGAGGCGCTGTGCCCACTGCGCCGACCTGCTGGCTACGGGGAAGGCAGCAGCCGCCTGTGCCCGGGGAAGCGCAGGGCCGAACCCCGTCTTGTCTCTGGAACAGAAACCCTCCAACTCCACCGCCTGGCAGAACTACAACGCCGGCGTGCAGATGGGCTGCTGGGGGCTGGTCATCTACGCGGCCACCGGGGCCGTCTGCTCGGGTGAGTGGCTCCCGGCGCTGCCACTCGGGGCTCCGCTCAGAGAAGCGGGCTGCCTGCCGCCCGGAAGGCGGGACGCGGCTCGTCTCGGCGAAAGGCCGCGGTGTCCGAGTCCTGTGGACCCTCACGGGGCTGTGCCCTGAGCCCGGGAGGGAGCGGGGTGGGCACGGGACCGACGGGGCAGTCAGCGAGGCTGCAGGGGCACCTGCCGTGCCGGGGCCCTTCCCCAGAGACAGCTGTGCCCCGGGGTGGGGTCCGGGTGACAGGCTCAGTCCTGGGAGCCCTGTGCCAGGTAGGGGTTCCCTGCCCGTTCCTCGCCCTCATCCTGGGGAAGGCGGTGGCTCCGCCCCAGCCTGGCCTGGAGTCCGGCAGCCGAGATAAATGCCGCCCAAGCAGCGGGCAGCAGTGTGGCGGGCACAGCGCTGTCCAAGCCCGGAGAGTTCCGGACGGCGCCCATGGTGCCTCCGTAGGAGTGACCATTAGCTGCAGGTCGGGAGGGGGGCCGAGGCGTGCCGGGAGCAGGCTGCCGCCTGGGCGGGGGCCGGGCCGTGACCGTGCTCTCCCGCAGCTCTGCTCCAGAAGTACCTGGACAACTACGACCTGAGCATCCGGGCCATCTACATGCTGGGCACGCTGGGCTTCTCCGTGGGCACCGCCGTGATGGCCATCTTCCACAACGTGTACGTGGCCATGGTCATGGTCAGCACCATGGGCGTCGTGTCCATGAGCATCTCCTACTGCCCCTACGCCCTGCTGGGCCAGTACCACGACAGCAAGGAGGTGGGTCCGCGGCCTCGCCCCCCTCGGCCGGGACGCGGGGCTGTGCTCGCGGCTCTGGCAGGCGCAGGCGCCGGGCGGGTCCTGCCGGCCGGCGTCAGCCCTCCGCCCGCTCCTCTCTTGCAGTACGTGCACCACAGCCCCGGCAGCTCCAAGCGCGGCTTCGGCATCGACTGCGCCATCCTCTCCTGCCAGGTCTACATCTCCCAGATCCTCGTGGCGTCGGCCCTCGGGGGCCTGGTGGAAGCCGTGGGCACTGTGAACGTCATCCCCATGGTGGCCTCCATGGGCTCCTTCCTGGGCTTCCTGTCCGCCACGTTCCTGGTCATCTACCCGGAGGTGTCGGAGGAGGCCAAGGACGAGCAGAAGGGCCTGTCCGCCCCGCCGCCGGGCGAGGACGGCGGCAACAAGCCCACGGTGCTGCGGCTGGCGCGGAAGGAGGGCCCGCCGGGGCCCGTGGAGGCCGAGTCCATGGTGTGAGGGCTCCGGGCACGCCACGGGCAGAGCATGGCGCCCGCAGCCAGCACTGCTCCCGGGCGCCAGCCGGGCGGAGCAGAGGCAGCCCCACAGGACTCACTCCGTCCACGATTAAAAACCATTTGAAGTTTTTTTTTTTAATTGAAAAAGATCTTTTAATTTCATTTTGTCCTCGACCCGCAGGCACGCCGTGCTGCATGTCTGAACTGTGAGCGAGGCTTACGGTCGACCGCGGGCGGCGCGCCGGCGAGGGCCTGGCCGCCGCCTCTGAGCGCGGCGCCGGTCCCGGGCGGTGGCGCGGGTCCACCAGCCGGTTCTCTGAGGCACTGGGACGTGTCTGATCTCGCCACATCGGTGCTGCAGCGCCCTGCGGGAGGGTGTTTTTGTTTCCGATTGTTTTAGAAATTTGTTTTCCAAAACATTGTTTAGACTCAGCGTCTCCTCTCCGCCTCAGTTTGACACGTGTGCCCGCTCTGCTCCTGGGCCGCGGGCACGTGGCAGCCACACCAAAGCCGGGGGCAGGGCCCCGCTCCGGGGTGGAGCGAGCGGCTGGCAGGGTCACTCCTGGCCCCGCCGGGGGGACGCGGGCGGCGTCGGAGCGGCAGGTGTGCCCGCAGCACGTCCCTGCCCGGTCCGGGCGGTCCCGCCTCTCTCATTGCACTTTGTCTTTCCTCGTCCGCCGGGCCGCCAGCCTCCCGGCCACGCGCTGGACACTGCTGACCTCTGACCTCGTCGCCTGGGCCCTCGCCTGACGCGGTGTCCCCGGGAGGGAGCGCCTGGCCCGGCCGCGCTGCGCGTCTGCCGGCGCCCGCAGCCTCAGCCGCGCCCGGACGGAGCACCGTAACACTTCGCTGCCTCACGTTTTTAACTAGAGGACTGTACACTGCATGGGAATCATGCTGCAATATGATCATTCTAGAGCAAATATATATTTCAAGGTGAAACGAAGCAGTTTTGAAATAAATTACTTGAATTTCTGTGTACGTAAAGGATGACTGCTGTGTGCTTGACTGGCCGCCGGCCTCACCCTGCCTCCCGCTGGCAGCACCTGTGCCCAGGTTTCGGGTGCCCGCCCACCTCATGCCCTCCCCGGACCCCGGAGGCCGCCCGGCAGACGAGGGCCTGTGTGTGAGGCCTGGCAGGGCCCCCCGAGGCCAGGGGCCGTCCTCTCCCTGCCCTCAGCTCCCCGTTCCAGACGCGGGGCCCCGGCCTGCACTGCGAGGCGGGCCAGGCGCCCAGTGCCCCGGGGAGGTGGGGCTCCGCAGCCCCAGCGTCCGCTGAGCCACAGCACATGGAGAAACAGGTCTGACCCCGAACCCCGGGGAGCCCCGAGGGGTGGGCGCGAGGACCCGAAGCCGGGGTGCGCGGCCGGCGTGGTCCCCTCAGAAGTGCCGGCTCCCTCCTGTGGGCAGCGCCTGCAGCAGCGCCGGGCCTGGCGCAGACACCGGTCCAACCAAACCCCAGACACGGAGGCAGGCACCCACCCAGCGGGCCGCCCGCTGCAGGCTCCTGCCGCCACCAGGACCCGCGGGGGAGCCGGCGGCTGGGACCCTGCCAGCTGCCCCTCTCCCCCCTCGTCCCCAGCCCCGAGCACAGCCTGTGAGCTGGCCCGGAGCCACAGCCCCATCTCCGCAGCCACACCCTGACTCCGGCAGGACACGCGTGAAGACGGTCCACGGTCCCCGCCCTCCCATCGGGCGGGCAGGCTGGAGGCGGCACCGCTTGGCCTCGCTGTTCCCTGTGGTGGACGTGGGGTCTGGCCCTGCGCCCGCTCACTCTGTGTACCCCGGTCCGTCGGTAAGGTCTGGCCCTGCACCCGCTCTGTGTACCCCGGTCCGTCTGTGGGGTTCGGCCCTGCACCCGCTCTGTGTGCCCCGGTCCGTCTGTGGGGTTCGGCCCTGCACCCGCTCTGTGTACCCCGTTCTGTCTGTGGGGTTCGGCCCTGCGCCCGCTCTGTGTACCCCGTTCTGTCTGTGGGGTCTGGCCCTGCGCCCGCTCTGTGTACCCCGTTCTGTCTGTGGGGTCTGGCCCTGCACCCGCTCTGTGTACCCCGTTCTGTCTGTGGGGTTCGGCCCTGCACCCGCTCTGTGTACCCCGTTCTGTCTGTGGGGTCTGGCCCTGCACCCGCTCTGTGTACCCCGTTCTGTCTGTGGGGTTCGGCCCTGCACCCGCTCTGTGTACCCCGTTCTGTCTGTGGGGTTCGGCCCTGCACCCGCTCTGTGTACCCCGTTCTGTCTGTGGGGTCTGGCCCTGCGCCCGCTCTGTGTACCCCGTTCTGTCTGTGGGGTTCGGCCCTGCACCCGCTCTGTGTACCCCGTTCTGTCTGTGGGGTCTGGCCCTGCACCCGCTCTGTGTACCCCGGTCTGTCTGTGGGGTTCGGCCGTGCACCCGCTCTGTGTACCCCGGTCTGTCTGTGGGGCTCGGCCGTGCACCCGCTGTGTACCCCATTCTGTCTGTGGGGCTCGGCCGTGCACCCGCTGTGTACCCCGTTCTGTCTGTGGGGTTCGGCCGTGCACCCGCTGTGTACCCTGCTGTGTGTGCCTGTACCACCCCTTGCAGACAGCGTGGGGCCAGGCCTGTGTCTCCCCTCCCGTGTCTGCTCGTCTCCTGTTGGCTTTGGGGTTGACCCCAGCCGCCTCCCAGGGGCCGTGTCTGTCCCTCCTGGGCCACACAGCCTCTGTCTGGTGCAAGTGGACGGGTTCCCAAGGCCCCGCTCCCATGGGCCCACGTCTGAGCCTCACCTCCAGCCCCAGCCCCAGCCCCGGGCAGTGCCAGCTGCGGGAGGTGGGTCCCCGGCTTTGGGGGCTCAGGCTGAGCTGGTGCCCAGGCCTCTCGGCTCCGGGGGTGGGGCCCTGACCGCCCGGAGTGAGGGGTGTGGCGGGGTGGGGGGTGGGGGGTAAAGGCGGGGTGCACCGCAGCCCAGGGGGCCACAGAGAAAGGGGGGCTGGGACCCCCCAGGTCAGCACGGGTGAGACCTGAACCCGGGGCTCCTCTGGCTGGTGGAGGGGCGCTGAGGGCGCCGGCGGGCGGGGTGTGTGGAGGCAGGAAGGAGAAGAAACTCCCAGAAAGCAGGATGGGGCGGACTTCAGGAGACGCGGCCAGAACCCCACGCTCCCTGTTGTGGACCTCGGGCGGGGGCGCTCCCTGCTGGGCATGGGGACCCGGGCTTCCTCGGCTAGCGCGGGCTCGCAGCGCCCCCTGCTGTCTGCTCCGCCCAGGCACTCCCCGTGGCTCCCCACGGCGGGCAGCGGGCAGCCTCGGCCCCGCCTCCGGGGCCCCTCGGCTGAGGCCGGCTGCTCCGCTCAGCAGCGCCCGCTCCTTCCTCCTTCCCTCCCTCCCTCCCTCCCTCCTTCAGGCACGAGTGTCCCCTCCCGGGAAGAGGGAGTGAGGGATCCTGCTTGGAGTTTGGGTTTTTTATTAGAAATGGTTCATATTGTCTGGGCCGTGCTGGGCCAGCACCGAGGCTGAGCCTGAGGGGGGCGGAGGCTTAGAAGTGACAGACGAGGAGCAGGCTGGGGCGGAGACAGCGGCCGCCGTTTCACCAGGCCCACGGCAGAGGGCGGGCGGCCCGGTGTTTCCATCCTCCACTGCGGGCACCTGAGGCCTATGGAGCCCCCGGCACTCAGCACGCGGGCCCCGTGTGCGGCCGCAGGGTCAGCTCACAGCCACAGCCGCCCCTGCCGCGGTGCTGGAGGCCCGGCCCTCCTCGGTCCGAGGCCGGGCTGGCCACCGGCGGCCGCCCCACAGTCCGGCCCCGCTTCCTCGGGACGTCCCGCGCCCGCAGGCGTCGGAGCCAGACCAGGAGGCCCGGCTCGGACGGCGCCGTGGGCGCACGGGGACGAGCATGAACGGGAGGCAGGGCTCGGGGAGAACACGTGGCTGCGGACCGCCCGGGGCCGCTCCCTGCCCTCAGTGTGCGCGGTTTTCTCCCGTTTTTGCTCATCCTCCTATGAGGACATTTTCCCACTGATTTTCAGAGAGGGAAGGGGCGGGGGAGAGGGAAACATCCATCAGTTGCCTCCTGAACCCACCCTGACGGGGCCCAGGGACCGAACCTACGACCCAGGAACATGCCCTGGACTGGGAATCACCCTGTGACCCTTCGGTGCTTGGGCTGGCGCTCTAACCACTGAGCCACCAGCCACGCTGGGCGGGAGGTTTCCACGCCATCACCTGACTCGGCTTCTCCCACGCTGGAGAGGAGACCAGGTTTTAGACCAGGACACTGAGCTCTGAGAGGCGCAGAGAGGGGCACGAACATAAAACACACTCACACTCTCATACTCACACTCAGTCTCACACACACACACACTCTCACACACACACCCCGCTGCTGGCTGAACCATCCTAGGTGCTGGGAACACGTGCCCCTGGTGAGCAGACTGGGGGGCCTCCCAGGAAACCCCCAAATGCCGCCGCCCCTGCGGACCTTCCTCCACGCTGGCCCCGGCACCGAGCCAGAGGCCCTGCAGCGCCCTCCGGAGGCCTGGCCTGGGGCCGACACGCACCTCCCACCGCTCAGGGAGCGCAGGCCGCGGGCCTCCGAGGCCCAAACCCACACCTCGGGGCCCGGCGACCACCGACCGCTCCTCCTGCCTGCGGGAGTGAGACGGCCACACCACGGGGCGTGTGCCAACGCTTCTCCGCAAACACTGGTCAGTGACGGCGGGCGCCCCCGCTGGGCGGCCGGCGGGGGAGCGGGCCGGTGCCCTCCGGTGGGCGGGAGTCCGGGGCGTCTTCGTACAAAGGCTCCGCGTCCGCCAGGAAGAGCTGCCCTCCAGCTGGCCTCCGCCCGCCCTCAGCCTGTCCGCGTCCTCCCTGGGGCCAGCCTGGAGGCGGGCCGCGTGCCCGGGGCTCGGGCGTGAATGGGGCCGGCAGAGGCGTGCAGCCCGCTCGGCTGAGACTGGCTCCGGGCCGGCGTGGGCTCTGGCGCCGTCCAAGCTGCGCTCGGGGCGGCGGTGGGGCAGCGTCCGGGCAGACGTTCTGGCCGCGGGGGAGCCCGCTGCCCGCCCGGAGCCGCAGTCTCATTGGAGCCCGGGGAGAAGCCGGCCCGGAGGAGAAGCCGACCCCGAGGAGAAGCCGACCCCGAGGAGAAGCCGGCCCGGGGAGAAGCCGGCCCGGAGGGGCAGCCGGCCCCGAGGAGAAGCCGGCCCGAGGAGAAGCCGGCCCCGAGGAGAAGCCGGCCCCGAGAAGAAGCCGGCCTGGAGGGGCAGCCGGCCCCGAGGAGAAGCCGACCCCGAGGAGAAGCCGGCCCGAGGAGAAGCCGGCCCCGAGGAGAAGCCGGCCCCGAGGAGAAGCCGGCCCGGGGAGAAGCCGCCCGGAGGGGCAGCCCGCGGCGGGCACGGCTCCCGGGCACACGGGAGCGGCAGGAGGGCGGCCTCACTCCACGGTCCAGATGGCGATCTTGCCCTCCTCCGGGCCGGACCCGCTCAGCACGTATCTGTCCTCGGCCGAGCACAGCGTCCTCACAGCGTCCGCGTGCGCCACCAGCTCCTTCTCCACGGCCCTGCTCCTGGCGTCGACCACGTAGATCTTCCCCCGGGACCTGCCCTGCGACAGCCCGGTGCCGCCCACCCACACCTGCGGACACCGGACAGGGCGTCAGCTCGGCCGGAGGCCGCGGGGGGAGGGCGGGGGGAGGGCGCCCAGCCCTCACCCGGCGGCCCCTCACCTGCCTCTTCACCCGGATCATGCAGGTGACCTGGGTGCAGTCCGGCAGGTGCACCCTCTCGGGCGGCCCGGCCAGGTCCCTCAGGCCCCACACGAACAGGTCATCGCACCCCGCGCACGCCGCCCACAGCTGCTCCTGCTGCGGAGGAAGGGCCATGGGGGGGCCGGTGGGGGTCGGCAGGAGCTGGCGTGGGCCAGTGGGGGTTGGCAGAGGTTGGGCATGGGCCGGTGGGGGCCGGCGGGGGCCGGTGGGGCCCGGCGGGGGTTGGTGGGGGCTGGGGGGGGCTGGGGGGGCTGGGAGGGGCAGTGTGGGCCAGTGGGGGTTGGCGAGGGTTGGGCATGGGCCGGTGGGGGCCGGCGGGGGCCGGCGGGGGTTGGTGGGGGCTGGGGGGGGCAGTGTGGGCCAGTGGGGGTTGGCGAGGGTTGGGCATGGGCCGGAGGGGGCCGGTGGGTGCTGGCAGCAGGCAGGGCCCAGGGCGGCCGGGCAGTACCTCGGGGAGCAGCTGGAAGGCCACGAAGGTGGTGCTGCGCTCCTGGACGGTCTCGTCGATCTTAAGCTCCTGCCGGACACTGCCGTTCACGGCCACGATGCTGCCACAGGTGCCTGCGGGGGGGGGGGGGGGGGGGCGCGTGAGGGCCCGGACACGCGGGGCCTCCCTCCCCACAGCGGAGGGGCTGTGGCTTCTGAGGTTCAGGAATGCAGAACACGGCGCAGGCACAGTGCAAAGCTGGGTCCCCCTCCGCTCTGAGCTAGGGTGCAGGGGTGCAGCACCCCTCAGCCGCTCACAGCGACTCCTGGGAGCGCGTGGCTGTGCCCACGTCCCCGTGGGCAGAGGGAGAGGCTGGGGACCGCCCGCCCACCCGGGGAGGCGTAGAGCAGGGACCAGGAAGACGGCTTGGACATGGGGGCTGGGCTCCTGGTGCCAGGGGGGGACACTCACAGCACCACAGGCAGCCGGCGTGCAGCTGGATGGACGAGAGGCCGCTGCCCGGCAGCTGGAGCCGGCGGGTCACCTGCAGCGAGCTCACGTCCCACACCAGGACCGCCCCGTCCGCGCTGCACGAGTACACCTGGCTGAGGCACAAGCGCACGGCTCTGTCTCTGGAGCACAGCTGTGCGTCCTAACCCTGAGACAGCCCCACCGCCAGGAGCTCTCCCGGCCGCCCCGGGAGGACAGGCGCACGCCCACACGGTGGGGACCGCCTCGGCCACGAGCCACGCCGGCTCCACCTGGGGACAGGGAGCCGCTCCGACAGCCGGGGAGCCGCGGAGAAGCTGGGCTGCTCCCACAGGGACGCGCTGCTGTCCCGGAACCAGAGCAAACAGAACTCCCCCCAGACGGGCAGCGTCCGGGCCGGCCCCGCGGCCGCTCCCACGGGGCCCACGGCGCCGGGCGGGCCTGCGGGAGCCGGTACCTGGGCGCGTCCGGGACGTCCTGCACCACGAAGCCGGTGACGCCGGCGCGGTGCTCGGTGAGCTGCCGGTTGCAGGACATGCTGTGCACGCTGATGATGTAGATGACCGAGTCCTCGGAGCCCACCCACACCTGGCCCTGCGCCGCCATCGCCATGCAGTTCTGCGGGGGAAGGGGCTGTGAGCGCCCGGAGCCGGACCGCGCCGGCCTCCTGGGAGCAGCCAGGCCCCGGGCTCCCGCCCAGCAGCGCATCCTGCGCGAGCCAGCCACCACACGGGGCGTGTCTGAGCGCTGACCTCACGCACTGCCCCGCCTCCGCGCCTGCTGGACACCCGCCAGCCCGGCCGCACCCCTGGGGCCGCTCACCGGCGGAGGCCGCGGGCCAAGCACAGAAACGGGCAGGCCGGCGGGCTCAGGGGGAGCGTGGACCAGGAACCAGGGGGTCACGGTCAGGGCTCCATGCCCAGGGCGGGGCGTGCAGGAGGCAGCTGGTCCCCGATCCCCTCTCACCGTGGACGTTCTCCCTCCCTCCCTCCCTCCCTCCCTCCCTCCCGGAGGTCAGTAAGCACATTTTAAAGAGACGGCCCCGCGGGCCGCGTTCGGGCAGCGAGCGGGCTGGGCTGAGCCGGTGCTGAGTCCGGGGGAGCTCAGAGCGCGGGCACTCGGCCACCACCTGCTCGTTAGAAAGAACGTGTCAGCGACGCGGTGGCCGGCCCTCGCTGGATTTGGAAACGAAGCAGGAGCGGGAGCCCCGATTCCAGAGCGGAGGGCGCTGGGGGCCGCCCGCCCGCGGGGACGCACCAGCGTGGAGGAGCCCACGCGGACGCAGTGCTGGTGCCGGCTCCAGGACGAGGCGTCGAACACCACCACTCGGCCGGCCTGCAGCGCGCACCACAGCTTGGGGTGCGCGTCCCCCGCCCGCTCCGCCGGGTCCAGCTGCCCTGAGCGGAAAGCAGCGAGGGGTCACCGAAAGCCCTTCGCAGAGGAGGCGAGCGCCACGGGGCCCGTCCCCCTCGGAGCCCAGGCCGGAGGGTCGCTGAGTCCCGGACAGTGGGCGTGGGTCTGAGGGGACGGGGCAGGGCTGTGGGCACAGGGGGGCGGGAGATGGCCAGCACCGCCCAGGGGACGCCTCTGTAACCATGACAACAGGACCAGGGTCACTGGGAGAGGCCTCAGCGACGCCCACGGGCGTGTCTGCCCCGCCCCCCTCAGCCCCTCGGCTCCTCGGCTCTGGCCTCCGAGGGTCACAGAGCAGCTGCCGCGTGTTCCCCGCGAAGAGCAGGACCCCCAGTCCCCGCCCCCCCCACGGCCCCTGCTGACCCCGGGCATGAGCGAGGCGTGTACCAGGCGTGTACCTGGCGTGTACAGCAGCACGTCCACGGCCTGCGGGAAGGTCTCCCCCGCCGAGGGGTTGATCTTGTGCCTCAGCATCTCCGTCGTCGTCTTGGGAACAGCCAAGGGCACTGAAACACACATGGGCACGGTGAAAGCAGACACGGCCACGGCCACGGCCACGGCCCCGCGCCACGTGCTCCCGGGATCGCTCGGGAAGGAGGGGAGGGTCAGGACAGCGACGTAATTCAAAGGCCGAGCCGGCCGCAGGGCTCAGGGCCTGGGCGTCACCCTGGGAGCCAGGAGGTCAGGGTTCGATTCCTGGAGGTGGGGCTCAGCACTGGGGGTGCAGGAGGCTCTCTCTCCTCGTGGGGTTCCTCTCTCCCTCTCCCTGCCTCTGACATCAGTAAAGGGGACAAAGGCACAAAGCCGGGCTGGGGCTCAGACGCCCCCTCCCGTCCACCCCCCGGCGGAGCCCGGCCTTACTCTCACTCAGCATCTTGTCGAAGTAGGACAGCTTGGAGGCGGCGTAGATGGCCTCGGGCGTCTGCAGCGCGCCCACCACGGCGTCCATCAGCAGGGCGTGCGTCAGCGCCTGCTGCACGTACTGCGGGTCCTGGGGGCAGGCGCGGAGCGGCTTCCGGGGCTGCTCGCCACCCGGTCCCCCCCCCCGTGAGGCCTCCTCCACCGTCCCAGTCCTCCCCCCCACCCCCCGGCCCGCTGCTGAGTGAGGGCCAGCGTCCCCCTCCCCCCCGCCCGCTGCTGAGTGAGGGCCAGCGTCCCCCTCCCCCCCGCCCGCTGCTGAGTGAGGGCCAGCGTCCCCCTCCCCCCCGCCCGCTGCTGAGTGAGGGCCAGCGTCCCCCTCCCCCCGGCCCGCTGCTGAGGGAGGGCCAGCGTCCCCGCCGGGCCCCGCGCTGACCTTGTGCTCGTCCGCCAGCAGCTTCCCCGCCCACATCTCCTTCACCATCAGGTGCCACAGGTCGCACTCGGCCTTCAGGTTCGCCTCGAAGACGTCCTTCTTGGCCACCAACTTGATCTTCAGCGTGGGGATGCGGAGCAGCAGGAAGGCCGCAGTGGTGCTCCGGACCTCCTGGGGGGGGGGAGGAGGGGGATGAGGGGAGATGGGGGGATGAGGGGGGTGAGGGGGGATGAGGGGGCGGGATAGGGGGGATGAGGGGGATGAGGGGGGATGAGGGGGGATGAGGGGGATGAAGGGGGTGATGGGGGTGAGGGGGTTGATGGGGGTGAAGGGGGGTGAAGGGGGATGAGGGGAGATGGGGGGATGAGGGGGATGAGGGAGGATGAGGGGGATGAGAGGGGATGAGGGGGATGAGGGGGCGGGATGGGGGGGATGGGGGGGATGAGGGGGATGAGGGGGATGAGGGGGCGGGATGGGGGGATGAGGGGGATGAGGGGGGATGAGGGGGCGGGATAGGGGGGATGAGGGGGATGAGGGGGCGGGATAGGGGGGATGAGGGGGATGAGGGGGCGGGATAGGGGGGATGGGGGGGATGAGGGAGGATGAGGGGGATGAGGGGGCGGGATAGGGAGGATGAGGGGGATGAGGGGGATGAGGAGGCGGGATTGGGGGATGAGGGGGATGAGGGGGATGAGGGGGGATGAGGGAGGATGAGGGGGATGAGGGGGATGAGGGGGCGGGATGGGGGATGAGGGGGATGAGGGGGGATGAGGGGGCGGGATAGGGGGGATGAGGGGGATGGGGGGCGGGATGGGGGGGATGAGGGGGCGGGATAGGGGGGATGAGGGGGATGAGGGGGGGATGGGGGGGATGAGGGGGATGAGGGGGATGAGGGGGATGAGGGGGCGGGATGGGGGGGATGAGGGGGATGAGGGGGGATGAGGGGGATGAGGGGGCGGGATAGGGGGGATGAGGGGGATGAGGGGGCGGGAGGGGGGATGGGGGGGATGAGGGGGATGAGGGGGATGGGGGATGGGGGGGATGAGGGAGGATGAGGGGGATGAGGAGGATGAGGGGGCGGGATGGGGGATGAGGGGGATGAGGGGGATGAGGGGGATGAGGGGGGTGAGGGGGGATGAGGGGGATGAAGGGGGGGAGGGGGGTGAGGGGGTTGATGGGGGTGAAGGGGGTGAAGGGGATGAGGGGAGATGGGGGGATGAGGGGGGATGAGGGGGATGAGGGGGGATGAGGGGGATGAGGGGGATGAGGGAGGATGGGGGGATGAGGGGGATGAGGGGGCGGGATGGGGGGGATGAGGGGGATGAGGGGGGATGAGGGGGATGGGGGATGGGGGGATGAGGGAGGATGAGGGGGATGAGGGGGGTGAGGGAGGATGAGGGGGATGAGGGGGCGGGATAGGGGGGTGGTGGTGCCTAGAGACCACGCTGTGCCGGCCTGGGGCCGATGGGGGACGCGCGCCCGCCCACCTGGATGTTGCGGAAGGTGGCGATCTCCACGAAGCCGGGCCGGCCCTCGGTGAGCAGGAGCAGCCGCTTCTGGGTCATGGCGATCTTGCCCACGCCGCGGCTGGTCTTCACGGCGCCCGACAGCTTGTACACGCACTCGTTGCGGTCCAGGCGCTCGGCCACGGCCGCCGGCAGGCTCACCTCCTGCGCCCGCGCCTCCGTCTCCTTCCAGCACGTGTAGAACTCCCGGAAGGTCTCGGGGTCGATCAGCTTCTGCTGCCCTGGGGGAGGCGAGGAGTCAGCGCGCAGGCCTGGCACCCGCGCAGCGGCGCATTACCCGATGGGCCAGCAGGTGGCGCCAGGACTCGCCACCAGGAGGGAAACACCTGGGAGCCAGTCCCCTCTCTTCGGGGCAGCCCAGGGGCCGGGTGGGCCCTGGAGCCAGACCCGGCCATCCGCCCTCCAGCCCCGACCGGGGGTGGGGGTGGCGGGGTGAGCGAGGCCGGGCAGTCGCCGTGCCTGAGGGCAGCAGGGGACACGGGGACAGGAGCAGTCGCCGGCGGCAGCCGCCCCAGCCATGTGGGCGCCGGTCCTGGGGGAAGCGAGCACTGAGGAGCCAGACCCTGGTGACCCGCCCCGCCCCGCCCCCGATGGGGCCGAGCCTGAGCCAGGCCTTTCAGCGCTTCTGGGTGATGTGAGCAGACACATCACTTCTGTGATCTGTAGCCAAGATGACCTGAACGGCTGCAGTGACCTTTACAAATGTCCAAAACAGCCTGGCCGGCGCGGCTCAGTGGTTGAGCGTCGGCCTATGAACCAGGTCAGGGTTTGATTCCTGGTCAGGGCACAAGCCCGGGTTTTAGGCTCCGTCCCCAGTCGGGGGCGTGCCTGAGGCAGCTGATCCATGATGCTCTCTCAGCATTGATGTTTCTCTCTCCCTCTCCCTTCCTCTCTGAAACCAATTAAAAAATGTTAAAAAAAAAATGTTAAAAAAAAAAAAGAGAGAGAGAGAGAGAAAGAAATAGCCAAAGCCGGTTTGGCTCAGTGGATAGAGCGTCGGTCTGCGGACTGAGGGGTCCCGGGTTCGATTCCAGGCAAGAGCATGTACATTGGTTGCGGGCACATCCCCAGTAGGGGGTGTGCAGGAGGCAGCTGGTCGATGTTTCTCTCTCATTGACGTTTCTGGCTCTCTGGCTCTCTCTCTTCCTCTCGGTGAAAAATCAATAAAATACATTTTTAAAAAAGAAATATTAAAGCACAGCGTCCTGTGTGCACGCCCAGCGTCGCGCTGTTGGCAGTGTGGCTCGGGCAGCTGTGCGCGGGCCGCTCCCGGGCCTGTGAGTGGAGGTGGCCTGCCGCCCCCCGGCTCCCCCGCCCCCGCCCCCCACGGGGCTCTGTCCGGCCTCCGCGCCCGCCCACCCGTTGGTGCCCGCCTGCCCCCGCTCAGCACCGGTGCGTCCGTGTCCGCGCAGGGAGCGGCTCTGCGGCCCGCCCGGCTCCCCGCGGCTCCTCGCCCCGGCGGGCGCGGCGTTTCTAAGATGCCAGCAGGGGCTCCGCCCGCCGTTCAAACACTCAGGGCTCCTCGGCGGCTCCGGCCCCAGATTCCTCCGGACGGGCCCTGTGCCCTCCACACCCGGGGCCAGGCGCCCGCACGTCCTCACGTGCCCCCGCCCGGCCTGGCCCGGGACACTCCCCCCACCCTCAGAGCCCAGAGGGACCAGCTGGCAGCCTCCCTGACCAGCGCCATCCTGGCCCCCACCACAGGCCCGTGGACCCTCCCAACCGCCGCAGGAGGCAGCGCCACTGTCAGGTTCGCTCACAGACGGGGAAACCGAGGCACGGGCGGGCAAGCCCTTCCTGGCAGTGAGGGTGCAGGGAGCGGGGCCTGGGGCCGGGTCTGTGCTCCCGGATCTGCCTTCCGCTGCGCCTGTCCCAGCCTGGCGGCGGCCACACCCCCGCTCGGGTCCAGTGTCGGGGTGCGGGGGAGCGGGGGACGGGTACCAGGGAATTGATGTCACGGCCACAGCTGAGTTTGGCCAACTCGGCGGCACAGCAGCCGTCTTCGGGGGGGCCGGGGAACGGAAGCCGTGTCCTGGGTCGGGGTGC